TCCCAGGACAGTGACAGACAGGAGAACTGTGGACAATGGACAGTCCCAGGACAGTGACAAACAGAACTGTGGACGATAGAGACTTAGGACAGTGACAGACAGGAGAACTGTGGACAATGGACAGTCCCAGGACAGTGACAAACAGAACTGTGGACGATAGAGACTTAGGACAGTGACAGACAGGAGAACTGTGGACAATGGACAGTCCCAGGACAGTGACAAACAGAACTGTGGACGATAGAGACTTAGGACAGTGACAGACAGGAGAACTGTGGACAATGGACAGTCCCAGGACAGTGACAAACAGAACTGTGGACGATAGAGACTTAGGACAGTGACAGACAGGAGAACTGTGGACAATGGACAGTCCCAGGACAGTGACAAACAGAACTGTGGACGATAGAGACTTAGGACAGTGACAGACAGGAGAACTGTGGACAATGGACAGTCCCAGGACAGTGACAAACAGAACTGTGGACGATAGAGACTTAGGACAGTGACAGACAGGAGAACTGTGGACAATGGACAGTCCCAGGACAGTGACAAACAGAACTGTGGACGATAGAGACTTAGGACAGTGACAGACAGGAGAACTGTGGACAATGGACAGTCCCAGGACAGTGACAAACAGAACTGTGGACGATAGAGACTTAGGACAGTGACAGACAGGAGAACTGTGGACAATGGACAGTCCCAGGACAGTGACAAACAGAACTGTGGACGATAGAGACTTAGGACAGTGACAGACAGGAGAACTGTGGACAATGGACAGTCCCAGGACAGTGACAAACAGAACTGTGGACGATAGAGACTTAGGACAGTGACAGACAGGAGAACTGTGGACAATGGACAGTCCCAGGACAGTGACAAACAGAACTGTGGACGATAGAGACTTAGGACAGTGACAGACAGGAGAACTGTGGACAATGGACAGTCCCAGGACAGTGACAAACAGAACTGTGGACAATAGTGACTTAGGACAGTGACAGACAGGAGAACTGTGGGTGATGGACAGTGTAATGAAGGGTGACAGACAGGAGAACTGTGGACCATGGACTGCCCCAAGGGCCACCAAACCTACCCTACCTCACGCCAACCCAAACCCTGACTTCTGATGTAATGTAGACCATGAATTTTATTCTTTTTTATTAGAACAACATGCACTTGGATTTATGTGTCTGTAGTGAGAAGAACAGCAAAACTCTGACAATCATGACCTTTGAGCCGATGGGAAATTTCACCGATGCCTCTTTCACTGGGTGTTTTCCAGGGACCGAGGAGGAGGACGCGGGCGACGACCTGCTGCTCAGGTCGGTGGACGAGTTCTGGTGGTTCCCCCACATGTGGAGCCACATGCAACCCCACCTCTTCCACAACGAGTCCTCGCTGGTGGAGCAGATGGCCCTCAACAAGGAGTTCGCCCTGGTGAGTGCACCTGCTGCCGCGGCTGCTGGGCCGGGGCGCGCTCTCTCCATGGACCACAGCATCAATGTGCTGGGTTGAATCCAGCAGAAACAGAGCAGGAAACATCAGAGTGCGTCTCATGTGTTAAGGGTACAGGTTGCTTTGCATTCTTTTGTTTCAGGCCTGTGTGGTGTGTGTGTGTGTGTGTGTGTGTGTGTGTGTGTGTGTGTGTGTGTGTATTGGGCCGTGATGTGATATCAAATATACTTGGGAAAGCAGGCCATTGTCAGAAAGCTCCCCCCTCCTGTTTCATGGAAGGGTTCGTCCGGCATCTGTGAAGAACAATGGCACCTTCTCCATTGCATTCCTGGCTGTGCACTATAATTAGCCTCTAAAAGCAATGCTTATCCCTGGCTGGTGTTGCTCAGTGGGTTGCGCTTCATCCCATGCACCTAAAGGTCCCTGGTTCGATTCACAGTCAGGGCACATGCCCGGGTTGCAGGCTTGATCCCCAGTGGGGGGCGTGCAGGAGTGTGTGTGTGTGTGTGTGTGTGTGTGTGTGTTGGGCCATCATGTGATATCAAATGTACTTGGAAAAAGCAGGCCATTGTCAGGAAGCTCCCCTCTCCTGTCGTATGGAAGGGTTCGTCCGGCATCTGAAGAACAATGGCACTTTCTCCATTGCATTCCTGGCTGTGCATTATAATTAGCCTCTAAAAGCAATGCTTTAGCCCTGGCTGGTGTTGCTTAGTGGGTTGAGCTTCATCCCATGCACCTAAAGGTCCCTGGGTCGATTCCCAGTCAGGGCACATGCCCGGGTTGCAGGCTTGATCCCCAGTGGGGGGCGTGCAGGAGGCAGCCAATCACATCGATGCTTCTCTCTCTTCCTCTCTCTCTAAAAATCCATTTTAGAAAATCTTTAGAAGCATTGTTGCAGGTCGATGGCTGGTGGGAGGAGTCACTGGAGAGGTGGCTCCAACCATGGCGCCCAGAGCTTAGCAGCTCCCCTTCCACCTGGCGGCCTTCCCACAACACACCTGCAGCTCCGGCTCGGTCATCAGCAGACAGCACACGCGTGTGTGTTTGCAACGCCTTGTGAGACAATATGTGTCCCTGAAAAGAAAAGGCCAAAGTGAGAGGCAGCGGGCGTTTATTTGAGATCCAGAGGGAATAGCTCTTGGGTAAGCTCTGATTCGGGCAGAGGCCTAAACAGGGTTCCCGTGGAGACGAAGGTGAGGGGTGGTTGAGAAAGGGAAGGGGCTCAGTTATATCAGCATCGGTGCAGCGAAGCTGACACGTGGGGCTCCGTCTAAGGCCCCCCTTAGGTGGTCGTTCCGGGTGCGATTCTCAGTCCGGTCGTCATGCCAAGCAGTGGTCATTGGTGTCAATTCAGTGCCGACAGGAATCCCCACTTTGGGGTGCGGCGGAGGAGACTTTCTTCGGGGAAAACAGCTCAATGGCGCTACCGCTTGGCTGTGAGGACAGTGACCCTGAGGCGGCCCTGGGCCAGGCCCTCGGGAGCGGCTGCTCTGCTCCCTGAGGCATCGTCTGGTTCGGCTCAGCCAGGGCCACTGGTCAGCGCTGGGTGGAAAGGGAAAGGGGCTCCCAGAGCCAGAGGGGAAGTGACTTCCTGGACAGAACCCCCACCCCTGGCCCCTGATTGATTCGTTCTTATGCAAATGAGGACTCCAAGTCCTCAAAGTGTGATTGGTCCAAGAGGCACTGTCCTGATGGGTCAGGGTAGAGCCACACTGGTTGATCAGAGCTGCTCAGCTCTGATTGGATGGGGAGAGCCTCAGTCCTATTGGTTGAAATGGACGCCAGGAAGAACTTCCTGAGGGCTGGCGCAGATGCAGGGCCAGGCAGGCAGGCGGGCAGTGCAGGCAGGCGGTCCCGGGCCAGCTGCTCCCCGAAGGGCAGGTTGCACAAGGGGTCCATGTGTAAAAATGGCTGCGAGGCTCTGCTGCTGTATTTGAGCCCGTTAGCCACCGGGGCCCCTTCTTTCTTGAGGCGTCTTCTTTGTCAGGGTCCACAGTCATCCATCCTGTAGTCATCATGTCTACCTTCTGGTTGTCTTTGCAAAGTTCTCTGGGACGCAGGTTGCTTCGGGCCCCGTGCAGAGGTTATGTCCCCCTGGTTTAGCACCAGGGGTTTGAGGCATAAGCCGCGCACGGCAGTCCCTCGGGTGCGGCAGCTCCACGCATTTTAAAGTGGCTCCTTGTACGCCACTGCTGAGATGTGCCTGCAGCTGGGACTGCAAGGGCTGCTGGCATGGGCGATGGCAGTCTGGGACCCCGGGGCCAAAGCTGGCCCGCCGGGCGCTCTGTGTTGTGCTCAGTGAGATAGTTCTGTTCTTTGTTTTCTTTTTTAATTGATTGAAAAGCAGTCACAGGCACAGCCAGGCTTTGTGACAGAGTCATGTCCAATCCGAATGTCAGTGTCCAGAACAAGTGCTGTGGACCCGGCCACACCCGCCTCTGTGGCACCTGCCTCTGTGGCACCTGCCTCTGTGGCGCCCCCCGCCTCTGTGGTCCCCGCCTCTGTGGGACCCTCCTCTGTGGGACCTGCTTCCTTGGGACCCTTCTCTGTGGTACTCGCCTCTGTGGCACCCGCCTCTGGGGGACCTGCCTCTGTGGAACCCCCCTCTGTGGCCCCCGCCTCTGTGGGCCCTGCCCCGGTGCCCCCCGCCTCTGTGGGCCCTGCCCCGGTGCCCCCCGCCTCTGTGGGCCCTGCCCCGGTGCCCCCCGCCTCTGTGGGCCCTGCCCCGGTGCCCCCCGCCTCTGTGGGACCTGCCTCTGTGGCACCCGCCTCTGTGGTACCTTCCTCTGTGGGACCTGCTTCCTTGGGACCCTTCTCTGTGGTACTCGCCTCTGTGGCACCCGCCTCTGTGGTACCCGCCTCTGTGGGACCTGCCTCTGTGGTACCCGCCTCTGTGGGACCCGCCTCTGTGGGACCCTCCTCTGTGGCACCCTCCTCCGTGGGACCCGCCTCCATGGCACCCGCCTCCGTGGGACCCACCTCCGTGGGACCCGCCTCCGTGGGACCTGCCTCTGTGGGACCTGCCTCTGTGGTACTCGCCTCTGTGGTTGGCAGCTGCTCCTGCAACAGCATAGCTGGGTCCCCAAAGAGACCATCTGGCCCCAAAATCTGAAGTCGTTAACATCCACACCTTTACCCCGAAGGTTTGGCCACCACAACTCGGGAACCAACATTTCCCCAGAAGGAGGCCCGGATGCATGTCCTTGGGTTTTCACGTGGCCGGGAAGGGGGAGAGGGGAGAGCCCGCCGGGACTGGCCCCTGGGACACCCCATCGGCGGTGCTCAGTGAACACGAGCCGCTCGCGTGCCACGGGGGTGCTGAAAGCATGTCAGGAGGCGCAAACCTCAGGCCACGGGAGCCCGGGATTATAAAGCTCTGCCTGCGAGGACGTGAGTGGAACCCATGGTCCCCGTTGCCGAGTCCCCAGCCTGGGTCACACCGCCCGTGGGGTCCTCACTGTGGTGTGGGCAGCGCACCCAGCGGTTCTCATCATGGATGTGGCACCGTGATGCCAGGGTTTGGGTCCTGACTCCCATCCTCAGATGCTTGATCTTAAACAAACACGACTCAACAAGTGTGGCTGTGCCTCAGTTTCCCTGAGTGTAAAATGAGAATGATAGTGACAACCGCGAGGGTCGTTCTGAGGATGTGACTACTGTGCTCAGAGCAGGGCCCGCCCCCAAGCATTCAGCAGGCGCTAATTGACCAATGATGACTGTCCTAGCCCAGAGGAATTCGCAGTGTGTCTCGCTTTAAAAAGCCCAATATTTGCCCGGCCAGCGTGGCTCAGTGGTTGAGCGTCCACCTATGAACCAGGAGGTGACAGTTCGAGTCCTGGTCAGAGCACATGCCTGGGTTCGGCCTGGATCCCCAGTGTCGGGCGTGCAGGAGGCAGCCGGTCCATGATTCTCTCTCATCCTTGATGTTTCTCTCTCTCTCTCTCCCTGTCCCTTCCTCTCTGAAATCAATTTTTAAAAGCCCAATATTTTTCGAAATGTGGATTTGTAAGAATGTTTAGATTAACTTCTCTTGCGGGTGTGGAAGACATTTGGTAGTGATCCCGAATGTTGTGCAATTAAGGAAATACTCCCTTTTCCAAAAACAAACTTGCCTGGAAGCGTGCTGAATTTGCAGCCTGTGGCCTTGGAGATGCACTGTTTCTCCTCTGCCGGTCCCTCCCCACCCCTTGCCCCCCATGGCCTCGCTCCTGGGCAGGTAAGTTACCTTTCACAATGGCCCTTCCCACCTGTGTGGGCCATTTCTTTTGAAGCCAAGCGGAGCACTGGGGAGGCCCCGGTGTAATTGCTCTGTAATCAAACATTGATGGCCGTTTAAAGTCCATTCAGAACAATTGCATCAGTTAGGTCAGTGTGGCCAAGAGCTAGGTGGGAACCCAGAAATAGGTTTTGTACAAAAATATTGGATTATCTGTTGCATCGTCAAAAGGTTACAAGTGAAATGAAGTCCATTCACACAGGCACTGGCATGACATGGTTCTGGAGCCTGGACCATCCGGGCGGGACATGGGGACACTCGGAAGCCAGGACCATCCGAGCAGGACATGGGGACACGCTGAACCTCCCCTTTCACTGTTCCCAGGATGCAGCCCATGGGTCCCCCGAGAGCCAGGAATGCTTTCTTTCTTATTAGATTACTAGAGGCCTGGTACACAAAATTTGTGCACTGTGGGGGGGTGGTGTCCCTCAGCCAAGCCTGTACCTTCTCCAATCCGGGACCCCTTTTGCCTGCAAATTAGAATTAGTATCTCATTAGCTATTAACATTCATATTGCTTAGCACTGGATTTAGAGAAAAAATTCCTTTTCTCATCATGGGTTGTGTCATGGAAAGTCCTTGACTTGCTGGTCTTGTATTGGCAGTTAGATGAAAAAATTCCCCTTAGACAGAAAATCTCTACAATACTTATTTATCTATTTGATTTTCCTAGTGGAGACAGCATCACACCCCCACCCCCCAACTTT